GGATTCGAAGTGATAATGTGATTGGAGAACAAGAAATCTAGAAATTTGATTTTCTGGACCCGAAAGATACCATATAGCACGAGACATGGATATGACATGTGTCGCAGTCTATGTTCTAAGGGAAAAAAGAGAGAGAGAAAATATCTGCCAATTATGGAATGATTTAAGTTTACTATAAAATATGAATATTATTGAAATTTTGTACTTTAATCACCATTTAATATCAAATTTAGAGAAATTAGTAATCTAAAAATATGGATATTTTTTATTGATTATTCATTTGTGTCTATACAAATTTAATAAAAAATAATATATATTATTTATTTGATGAAGGAAGATATCTTTTTTTATTAATCTTTTATCATGTAAAATTATATTTTTTTTCTGCGTGCATTAATATTTTATATATTTTATCCATTAAAATTTAAAACAATTTAAATATCATTAAAAACAATAATAAATTTTATTAATAATTGATTAAGTTTATCCAATTTCCAAACCTGTTTATTTACAAATATGATTTGTATTTTTAATTATGAAGTATACAACCCTACGTTGATTCAACAGTACAATTTTAAATGTGACACTGAAGGGGGGTTGTCGTTGAGATAGCTACAATGGCGTTCCTTATACATATCGGTACTTAGATTTATTTTTTTATTTTTATCTAATTTTTATGGACGTTACATCTTATATATAGGATCAGAGAAATTCATATGAATACTCTTTCCAAAAAAAAATTCGAATTTGGATTGAAAAGGAATGTTGAAATTTGTTTTCTTGAACAATATTTGTAAAAAACATTTTCAATGTCACGAGGGGTTTAGAAAAGTGAAATTATATATACATATATATATGCATATATATTTGAAATTTTATTAACTGACTATATAATGTTAAATATTTGTATGTAAGACAAATGAGATATATATATATATATAGTGATTGAAACTTTATTCATTGACTATATATTGTTAAAATAAATTTCTATAATGTAAATTATACTTAAAAATATATATTATCTCTTTTAAGTGACTCTTTCAGAATCAACTTTTTCAAGTCCTAAATACATCGACACACACACATTAGAAAGAGGATGGCCGTAATTAAAGTATCTTTTTGTTTTGTGATAATCATGATTAAGTGCCTAAGCAGGCATATAATCCCATATTATCAAGCAACCATTTTGTGACTTGCACGCCATTTAATTGACAATAATTATACGATATCCTAAAACATTGGAGTTAAATTAGGAGGGACAAACTAATTATAACTTTTGCCAATAAATAAATAGTATATACACATGATATCTGAGCAACCACAACAAAATCAAGTATGCATTTCAAGATATTAATCTTATAAAGCCTTTATAATGTCTTTAATATATACACAATTCTCTTTAAAATATTGAAATTGTTTACATAATCACTAACAACTTCCCAACTTTTGTGTGTATATATATATATATATACCACAAGTGTGTGTGTGTGGATGGAAGATTGAAAGTCAAGTCATCACATGGTTTTGCCTTTATGTGACATGCACATGAAGGGCCACATTGTTAGATCAACATTGTGACACCCGAAACCCGTATCCCGCAAATACGAGTTGCGCCACATGGACAAGTAATATAAAAATTCATACGTATATGATACATTATTTCCAGTTATAATTACACATAATCGAGTGGTAGTAATCAATTTATTACAAATCCCAAAGTCTACCACCGATATATTCAAAACGTTCCCCAAAGTATAAATGTATCAAATACGTAATTATACATGATCTGTAGATGTGCTCTGCCCAGGTCTCCGATGTCCGCTCCTCGGCTACTGCTGCGCACGGCCTGAAACGTTGCGTAACAACGTCCTAAGCTAATTGCTTAGAGAGTGAACTCGGGCGTAACCCGGAGTTCTATTCTCATGGTGCCAGGGAAAGCACAAACATATAGATATATGTGTGTATGTACTAATATTCTAATAAACAGGAATTTAACACATAAATCACAGTAAGCACGCAGCAATCACAATCAAGTCCGTACGACAAGTCGGCCGTACGACAAGTCGCAGGACAGAGTCCGTCAAATCGTCTCTACGCGCACCATGCGTAGGTATGTACTCCCCATGTGCGTAGCACAACCACCTCTCTCCTCGGGTTCCATCTACTCCGCACACACTCGGAACCCGGCATACGTATCTTTTTATTTTCTCCGCCCGAACACATCACCCCACCCTAGCATCGG